ACAAGCTGAAGGCAGAGTGCTTCAAGGCTTAAGCACAGTTGCGCGCATGTCCCTTGCGCTAGGAATTGCAGCCGATCCGGAGACGACATGTCCTACAACGGTCATGCTGAGCTTACAAGCGGGTTTCCTTGAGCTACAAAGCGGAAATTTCAAAACTGCGGAATCTATTCTAGACTCGGCGAAGAAATCTGCCACACACAAGTGGACAGCAGAACACCCACTTGCCCTCAAAGCTCAAGCACAACTGGCCCTTGCTCAATATCATCTAGGGAAATTAGCTACCGCGAGGGATAACATCTTGAGAGCTTTAAAAGTACAGCTTGAATTATTTCAGGGCGTACCGCCAAACTTCTTGTTGTGGACGAGCGAGTCTGGCGCCAAGGCCTGCTTTGAGAAGCTCATACGGACCAGGGATATTTACTACTATCGGCGATCTATGGTAACCTTGAACGACCCGGTGAGAATTGAGGATGATATCATTCACCCTGAGGCTCTAAGCTCTTTTCTCATTCTCGGTAAAATCGAGTCAGCCAGTCGATCTCACGAAGGGGTGAGATATGCCAGCGTTCTATTTCATTTGGTATTCAGCTCTAGCCAACAACAGCTTGGTGACTCCAAGGACATGACAATGGAAGCTGCAATTGGACTTGGGAGAGTCGAAATATCCAGTCTCACGTATGCCGCCAACCCGGTTGAACGAACTCGACACTACAATTGTGCCAACAGTCATTTCCAATTTGTTACGAATCAAGCTTTTGACAACCTGAGATGCAGGGACAAGCCCGCTTACAGGATCAACGTTTTGCCCTACGATAACGCAAAATTTCCTGCTTTTTCCACGGACCTGTCGGCCTCAATGTGTCACGCACATTGCTCGACCAAACGTGACACGAGCCCACCCATTGATAACGACAAGCGGACAAATCTTGAGCGTGAACAGCTCATGTCAGAGTTTGAGAAGAACAATACTTGCTCATTGAAGAAGATTGGTCATCCTGCTTTCTCCCTGGATTTATCGGTGACGAGCTTTGGCAATGAACATCCAACGGTCCTTCGAGCACGCCAGGAATTCATCATGGTGAACCTCTTTTTCAATAGTCAAGCTGAAGTTGACACTAAGGAAATTGAGGCAACAAAAACTAGTCTCTTAGGGGTTCTTCGAGCACAGGAACATCGACTAGGGTGGGATCACCCAGATCGACTACACACGCTTGCCGCTTTACTTCCTGTCCAGCTAGCTGGCAATGATTCCGAGCAGATGCTAGAAAGCACATTCAATGACTTACTGAGAAGGCTTAGGAAACCTGAAATCCGTCCCCAGCGAATTTCAGAGACTCTTTTGATGACAGAGAACGCTGCAAAGATGTTTCTTACTCGAAAGGGGTTGTTTGCGGACAGAATTGAGAAGATTCTCAAAACATTAGAGTGAAGCTGGGAAAGAAGCACACAGAGAGAAACCTATTTTGTTCACACAGTCTTTGGAAAGTTTACAGTACCGATGCCGTGGACTGATTGAAACTTTAGGGAGTTCAGAGATGGCGGTGAGTCAAGCAACGACAGACAAGTGAGGAATCAAGCTCCCAACAAGGTGTGTTCAATCCATGCTCGACGTACAAGATGACACTTTATTGATGGCTTGAACTATCTTCGTTCAGCCAGGATTTGGAGATGCTGTTTCGTATCGAAATACACGCGGGGTGGTCATCGCCCTTTTGTCTATTTTGCACCTACCCCTTTCCTCCAGCTTTCAATCCGACAATCTTTCTCCCTTTTCGTATGTATATGTAGTCGACATCCAATAGAGCCATTAACGAATATCGTCCAAGCAAGTGATGTGAAGTCGATTTCCCAGTGCGAGTCATGGTTCCCAATTACGCCGACCAGACTTCTATGTTGTGAAAACAGAAGCATCTGTCAGCGTCGTATAAACTTATCGAGAGATCCAGATACCTCCGTTCCCATAAGCTTTGTCCCTGAGCGCTGCGCCCTCAGTCCTCACACCGGCAAGATGGACCGGTATCCGATCAACCTGCTTTTGGACCTTTTCTCTCGTCTCGACATACCGATCAGCTAAGCTCATCTCGCTCCTCATCGTCCTCATCCTCTCCCTTGTCTCAATCGGACCCCAGTTGTCACGACTCAAACTCGCAACGGAAAGCAAGACATCCGTCCCGTACGCCTGCAGGGCCGCGTCTGAGCCAACTGGGGGCGTAGCCATCCGCAGTTGCCCCATAACCAAGACCTTCAGCTTGGTCTCCAGGAACAGGACACCACCAAACTCATGAATGATGTGCACCGTCGCGACATTTTCAGCGGCCACACGAGGAGTAGCGTAGGGGGCTGGCCCGACGGTGATGATACTCTCGTGCCAGTCGGTGGAAATGTGCTCCAGCCCGCTCCTTGGGACAATACGGGCCCAACCGAAGTAAACCCCTCGCATGCGCATCTTAACGTCCTCAGGTATGCCACTGAGATTTGCCGTCGGGATACCAAGCTCCATGCCGCCTCTTCCGGTGCTGCGCACGATTCTTCCATCGAATTTGATAGGAAACGGGTCCATTGGTCCAGAATCGGGGCCAATCACCTCTGGAGGTGCCTCATCGAACCCTGATTCGCCGTCTTGCCAAGGGGCGTAACCGTCACCTCTTGTGGTGGCATACTGCGCCTCATACTCCGTAACAGTCGTCTTGATGCCTGATTTATCGATGGCAGACTTGCCGTAGGCGATGTGAGTGGCGTGTTTCGTGACGAACTTGGCCGTTTGAAGCTTCTTCGTACGCGATTGCACCACAGCAGCAGCTGGTCCCACGTACCTATTCACAACGGTGTTGGCAACGATCGAGCCGGCTTTGATACCGAGTTCGAGCGGCATGCTAGCAAAGCTTGCTCCGCGTACGACACTCGCGTCTGTTGATGTGCTGGCAATGCGGAAAACTGGGCTGGGACAAAGAACCTTCCTCTTACTGCTGCCGCCATCGCCACCTCCAGTGCAGAGAACAAGGCGAAAGTATCCATCATCAGCTGCTGCGGGAATACGGATGACATGCGTCTCTCGCGGCATGTGCTTGCTAAGGTTCCTTGGTGCCTTTTTGAGGAACTTCTTGATGTCGCGCTGGCAACCTCTCTCATCACCTTCTGCCATATCCGTAGGCGAAGCTTGTGATGACGGGGTGACGTCGAGCCAGGAGTCGTTCGCTCCGACCAGGGACTTGAGGTTCATGCCCATGTTCCCGGAGAAACCCTTCCGCTGTAGCCATACCGTGCGCGTAGGAGGTAGTGGCGCATCTGAGAAGATGGTGACAGTGACTGAAGTTGAGGGGCCGCGATACCAGACTAGGACAGTGGAGTGGCGGAGGATCGCGTAGTGCTTGGTGTACTCGAATGGGTGGCTGATTAGTCCGCCAGCGAAGTACTTTGTCTCATCAAGCGCTGTTTGCCAGAATGTCTTTTCCTGTGTCTGTGAATCTGCGGAAGGTGCTTCGGAGGGGGCATAGCTTGGCGAAACTGGTGGTCGAGGCCCTGCCAAGGGGAACGTCTCCGCCGATGGTGGACCTGGGAAGACTGGGGAAGCTGGAGGGCGCTCGTGTGTGGCCACGGGAAACGTTGCTGCATTTGATGGGGGTGGGAAAGGTGGCGGTGGTGGAGGGATGTAGTTGGAAGGGACTGCGAATGTTCCCGATTTAACCGGAGGATGAAAGCCGGTTGGTTGTGGCGATTGGTAATGAGATGCGGATGAAGATGCTTCTGACTTTGTAGGCGGAGGCGGACCCGTTGACATGGGAGAGACCGGAGAGATGGGAGATGCTGGAGGTCGATAAGGTCGATACCTCGGCTCGTTGAAAGACTCAGCACAAGATGGCGGTCCGGGAAACAACGGTCCCGGGCTCGGCGGCGCTGGTGATGGAAGCCTCCCTGGGCTAGGGGGAATGATGTTGAGCCTGCCACTCGCGTCCACGCCCGGAAACTCCTCGTAGGCTGGTGGGGGGTCATAGATAGACGGGACCGCCGAATCTCTCAAGTTCGGCGTCGACCGCTCTCCGCGAAGGACCGGTCGACGCTGCGGAAAGGGGTCGAAGTCGGGAGGTGGCGGCATCGGCGGCGGGCCGGGAAACTGTTGGCCCGGCAGGGGTTTGCGCCTCACGGCCGCGATTGGGGCCGCCATGACTCTCGCTGCCGCTCCTTCGTGATTGCTGTGGGGGCTTCCTTTCACTGCCGAGCTGCGAGTCTGTGTGGTGAAAAAATGTTCAAGATATTGAACTTGAAAGATGAGATGTTTCTGCTATGATCTTCGTGTGTTTTGTGTTGGGACCGGACACTCGTATTCTAGAATTGCGGCCCCTGAGATGAGGATGAATCTGGAAGTGTCTCATCACGTGTCGCCAAGTCAATAATTCGGTGGTGAATGTCGGTAGCGGGCATGGGTCGCTGATAATGTAAGCAGCATTCCCAACCATTCTTCCTGGCCAAAGCGTCTATTTCTCAGACGTCGACAAGCGATTTGAAACATTAAATACATGAAAAGAAGTGTCACTTGACTTGGATCAATCAACAAACAGTGGGCTAGGAACATGCTTCTCATTGCGTTGGAGAAGCCAGGAAGTTCAAGAAGGACACAAAGCCAACCGTCCGCAATCCCGAAAACTTCACCGTCTATTTTCCGAGCTAGCCCCCCAACGATAGGCGAAATTGGGGGCCATTAGCGCTTCCCGACCCTGCCGTTAGCGGATCGCCCGCCCGCTCAAACGGGGTCGTCAACCAGAACATCCAAGTTTGTCTGGACGAAGTCAATTGGGTCTCTCATTTGCACCTTCACTCATTTCTAAAAAAGATTGCCCATTGATTACAGGAGGAATACATCATATTCAACTCAATCATTACTGTCCATATTGTGCATGATAAAATTGACAAGACTTAGTCCCGTATTTGCCAGCGAGGTGGGGGCTGCTAGGACCGAGCATTTTCCGCGATCGTCTTGGTTTGACAGGCGGTGCCGGGACAGCTCAAGAAAAGGGCTTGACCTGGGACTCACACCATTCCCAATACTTCGCGCCCAACTCGGGATCGATGAGGTCTTTCCGAGGCTCTTCCTTCTTACCAAATGGTGAAACTATTTTTTGTGTTGGTAGTTAGCAATAATTCATCTGTAGATGACTGAGTTAACGTACCCCAGCTACCATTGTCCTCCGAAGTGAAGGACTGATCCAACCCAGCAAACAGCTCAGTATATGCACCATTCCTTGGCGGATGCGATATGAGTTTCTATGTCATGTTAAGCCCTCATCTGGTTGCCTGACTGAATACTCCGGACTTACAAACATCGCCAACTGCATTTTTGGCATATTTTGCTGGAGGTTGGTAACAAAGTTGCCCGGGTTTAATGACTATGAATAGTGCATGTTCAGTAGTGTGCTCGCCCGTGCTAGTTGAGGTACTTGCCAAGCTGAGAATGCCGCTTCCCTTCATCCTACGCGCATATTCCGCCGCCTGAATCACGTTCCCAGCCTTGCTTCTGGAGTACATGGACCAGATTCCCTCCTCTTTATGGTAGTCCATGTTGGCAAAGTCGATGGCCGGGCGCGGCGCACCATCAGCTGCACTTGATGAAACCCATATGACTCTAACCGAGTCGTGAGGCGCTATTTGCAATGTCCTCTCCAAGAGGGGAGTCAATAGTTGCGTGAAGAGCTGATGACCGAGATTGTTGATGCCCAGCTGCAGTTCATGTCCCTGTACAGTCGTAGACCCCTGAGGTGGGACCATCACACCGGCGTTGTTCCAAAGCACATCTAGCCGGTTCTCTCGGGAAAGAAACTGCTGCGCTGATTCCTTGATGGTGGATAAGTCGTCTAGCTGGAGTTTCAAGAAAACCATCTCCCCCGTTGAAGTTGGGTGAGCAGCTTTAATCTCATTGATGACAGCCTGTGTTTTAGAATAGCTGCGAGCAGCGAGCCAGATCTTGGCATTCTTCGAGTAGAGAATCTTGACTAGCTCCGTGCCGATACCACCAGAGGCGCCGGTAATGAGGAAGACCTTGACGATGGCAGTGTGTCAGTTATCGGGGAACTTAAGATGCATCGGACAGACGATCTTACCTTTCCAGCTTGATCTGGTAAGTTCTCTTCTGTGAGAGTGGGCTTATGGGGGCTGAGAGAACTACAGCGGACGCTCATCGTGGCTTAAAGTGGAGGAATGGGGATTTGGACTATCAATGATTGTATGTGAATCTGATTTTCCATGTGCACTGTGTCAAGACCTTTCCGTGGGCATGAGGATTTAAGTAGTAACGAGAAATGTATCGTGAGTGAATTAATAGCGAGCTTCTTCAATGTGAAGCTTTAGAAAGCATGACGGTGACCCGAGTACGACGAGCTCGGGAGCGGCCGCTCTCGTCGCATTTACCGCGACCCCACTCCGCTCCGCCTCCGAGCCCCGACTGAGAAGGAAGTCTTGGACAAGCTCCGTGCGGAGTTGCGGGAATGTCGCCCGCGTCCGCACAGGTCTGATTGCTTGTACGGTGAAAGTTTCATCCCTGCTTAGTGAAGAACCGATTACGCGCTCTTCTTTTCGCCTCAATCCGAACCGGCCATCCACAACTCAATGAAAGTAATTGCTCGCAGCACCAATCTAATCTCACACCAATAGCAGTCAAGGACGTGAATCCATTCGTTCAAAATGTGACCGACTTTTGAATGGGGGAACGCCCGCAAGCTTGTTGAAGGTTGCCAATCCCTGCACTGCTGCCTGAAAGGCACGTGAGAGAACCGCCAATTCAGGAAGGACAGGAACGTCTGGATCTCGACTCAGGATGAGGATGAGTTTCATTTAAAAACGCCCAGCCAAGTGATAATCATTGCTCTATAACAAATGTTGCATTGTTGAACACGCACCTCTCGGCTATGGCTAGATACATCGCTGCACACCAAAATCCTCAGGGCCCAGGGGACTCCCGACCCACCGCGTTGCAAATTATCAAAGACGAAGGACTTGCTGGTGACGGGCTATCAGGAAAGACCGCACTTGTGACAGGAGCGAACAGAGGTATCGGGCTTGAAACGGTGCGAGCTCTACATGCAGCCGGCGCAACTGTCTACCTCGGTGTCAGAGACCTCGTAAGCGGTCGGAAGGCAATCGAAGACATCGCCGGAACTTCAACTCCAGACAGTGGAGCACAGCTTCAACTGCTTGAGATTTCTCTTGACTCCCTCGCCTCTGTGTGCAACGCCGCTCAATCCTTCCTCGCAAAAACCAATAACAGAATCAACATGCTTATCCTCAACGCAGGAGTCATGGCGTGCCCCAAGAGCAGCACCATCGACGGGTTCGAGACACACTTCTCGACGAACCATCTCGGCCATTTTCTTCTCTTTCGGCTTCTACAGCAGGCCCTTCTATCCACATCGTCCCCTTCTTTCAACTCTCGCGTAATATCCGTCACTTCGTCTGTGCATCGACTCGGCCCGATCGATGTCAACGACTTCACTTACGACCACCTACCTTATCATCCACTCAGAGCTTACGCAAGGTCCAAAACGGCTAACATTTACTTGGCTAACGAGATTGAGCATCGGTTCGGCGATCAGGGGCTTCATGCACTTTCTGTGCATCCAGGCAGCGTGTTGACTATGATTTCCCGGCACATCGAGGATGACCCGCTTAAGATCCCTGAAGGGGATTGGGAGGAGATTCGGCATTTTAAAAATGCGGCCCAGGGAGCGGCACCGACTGTTCTGGCTGCGGTTGGTGCAGAGTGGGAAGGGAACGGAGGGAGGTATCTTGCCGATTGTGTTGAACAAGGTCATGCGGTTGATCCTTCTTCTCAGACGGACTTGGGGCATGCTTCGTGGGCTTTTGATGAGCAGAAAGCAAGCAAATTATGGGATGAGTCAAGTAAAATGATTGGACTTGAAGAAGGGGCAGAGATTCCACGTCTGATGCAATAGTCTTGTTGAATTGGACAGTACCAAGTACATCCTACTGTACGAAAGCCACGATCGACTCTCGATCAATTGCTCATAGTTGATTCTTCATGCTGCAATATCAAGACTACGCACAATCCCCAGGTCAGAGCAAATTTGTGCCTGGAAGGCACCGCAATTACAAAAGACTTACTCAGTCTTCTGATCAGCTACCGATACCGCGCCAGTAAGCCCGTATGTCGAGCGGAACACAGCATAACCATGTGGCTTTTGTGATCAACGTTGATGTGACCGACACTGTCAACGACTGGTCCTCCATGCTTGTCAATAAGTTTCAACAATATCCTGGTTATGCTTTCCCTCTATGACGGTGACTCTAGTTCTGCTACTTAAATGCGGATGGCTCAGAACGTGTTCTGGAAGCCTGGCATGAAGGCTTCTTACTTCCCACACGTTTCTCCAGGCCATTCCATAGCTGGATTTCGTCTTCGCTTAGCCGGCCCGGGGAAAATTCGCTTAGCATACTCCGGCCAAGGCAAGGATACTTCTTCTCGACAGCTATTAGGGTCTTCATAACTTCCGTGGCTCCGATAACTTCGACGAAGTCAAGATGAATACCGTGGCTTTCCGGTTTTCGGGCTGCCCCGGCGACTAGAGTATTGTGATTCATTCCAACTGCTCCCACGACTAACACAAACCAAGCATTGCCACCGACTCCGGCAGCTGAGATGACAAAGAAAATCCACAATGCGGAGAGGGCTACAATGGCCACTCTAGTAGCCATGATGGCTGTCACGTCCATGTTTCTGTGTCCCGCCGCCAAGTCCTCGAGATTCAGGCCGTGCCCGTTCGCTAGAATGACTATGGCATGCTGGGACCCATTACCGCCGGTCACGACGTAGGTGTCCTTCGAATACGTTCGGCATGCCCATTTCTCTGACTTCCATTGTGGAAGTAGACTAGTAAGAATGGCCAGTATAGTCCCTCCAATGGTTAGAACGAGGATGGTCCAATCCCTCTCGTTTGCTATTGGGATAGTAGAAATGCCCAGTTGAACCAAAATGGTTCCGAGACCGGTCCAGTAGACGATGTCGTGACGAGGAACGCCGCTGCATCTATTCATGCTGGGCGCGTAGATAGAAACAACCAACCCACTCCGCACTGGCTTAGTAACCTCTAGGTCTGATTGATTGAGTTCGACCCGCTTTGCTTCCAGCAATTGCGATGTTAAATGTGCCGTGGTCTCGTCTTTCCAAGTGTCGAAATCTCGAACCAGCCTACCGAGAATCCAAGATGAATTATCGACTGAGTACCCGGTTCTGCCATTGACGACTTTGCAGGGAAAATCGGGGGTTTTCGGCATCAGCCTACTGTCCCCCATCATTGATACAACGGCCGACATTGAGTATGCTACCCAGCCTGATGTTGTTCAGAAATTAGAACATTGAGGGATGAGACCCAGGGAGAAGCACTCTTACCAAAGGAGAACACAACTGGGGCCACTCCAACACCAGCGAGTTGGGCTAGAGCCCGACCTACATTATCGCCACCAAAAAGCATGAGAACAGATAACAGACCACCAGGCTGACGCCATTGCTGGCGGAACTGATCCCAGGTATGACTCATGTCAAGGCTAAGATGGCGGAAACAACTTCTGATTGCCAATGAATTAGGCAGTTTTTCGCCAGATTCCAGGCGATAGCCGTGTTTTTCAAAAGAAGAGAAAATATGGAATCCTGTGGGTTTTTTCATCACTTCTTACGGTATCAACTCGGGTGCAGATGGAATATGTGGCTTAGTTTCTCGGCTCAAGTCATGGAAGACGTCAGGTCGTCAAAGACGAGGGCGGTCAGCTAAGCTCGATCTGATCTTACGTGCAGCATGCTGGAGCGACTCAACCTATCATTGCCGAGAAGATGCTTGGCTGCGAGAATGTGGTTGGCCTATCCCCATTCTGCCTAAACGCCTCCGCCGATTGTCAGTGTCGCACCCCTGTTCAAAATCGTGACCCATTTCTGTTTCCGAGCCAGTCGCCGGACGGATCTTTTCACGCACCATGTCACGAGCAGCGTCATAACGCCTTCGAATTTATCCCAAAAGTTCTGAAGTCATTGAATACGCTACGGCTTCCAAAGGATCCCCTGGTGGAGGATCAATCACTCAGTCAAAGATGTAGTGAAGAGATGAGAGCTCGGTGCCTGTATTTTGAGCTTGCTGTGAAACGGAATGATTCAACTTTTTTTTGCAACAACATCATCAGAGTAGCACATTCAGTCGCAGAAGCTCGTTGACAGAAACAGTCAGAAAAGGACTGAACAGTTTAGGAGGCGGCCACAAATTGGTACACTATCTGGTTCAGTGATAGACGCTGCAACCGAGACTTCGGTCTCCAAAGATTAAATTTCAACACATTGAATATGGTGAATGTCTCCTCTACGGAGTTCAGTCGTTCAATAATGACATGGAATTCTTGATCGCCTCATTGGATAATCAGTCATTGGTTTAGCTCGAGCCAGCGGAACACTCTATGACATGGAAAGGCAATTTCTCCGTCTTAGTGAGCAAACGGTGATGCGATTGGTTACTCTCCGGTTGGCTGGAATAGTAACAGGGAGAATCGAGAGAGCGACCGAAAGACCGAGAAACCACGCCGGACTTCCAATTACGAGGGCTGCTACCGTGTCAGGATCCAGAAACTCTTCACGACAACTACCCGCGATAACATGGGGCTAAGATGCCTTCTTCTCAGATCCTCTAAGCTCGAAGAATCACTCCTCAAGAAGCTTGATATGATACCCAAAAATCAGGAAGACTAGTGTGGACGCGAGAACCAGCTCTTCACCCGTGTCACCGTTGTGCTCCTCCCCGTCGGCTTTGCGACAGGCATCGTCAGAATAAGCCAAGCCCCTAGCAGCCAGACACTGCACAGCATGGGTTTCCTTGCATCCAGGGCTTTGATCGCCATCGTCGTAATCGGTACAGTCTTAAGGCTACTGAGGTGTACTTCCCCCAGGCGTTGGACAGAATTGCGCAATGTACTTGACCTCCAACAGCCGCACAGAAATGATGCCGTCCCCTTTCGAATATCATTGGGGAGAGGAAAAGATGACTTGAAATACGGCGATAATGGAGTCTAAAGTGCTATGCGGACAGCATGGGCAGGAATTATCAAGAAGAGATGGAAGTCCAAGACATTGGTGTTGGAGGCGAAAAACAGTGAGCTGGGAAAAGCAGGAACTCCAAGAGTCGCAAAACTGAACGGGGGAATGCTGGAAACAACATACGGAAACCCGAAGGCAGCGTCAACGGAGGCGCCAATAGAGGCACCAATACGGGTAGTCCAAACATGAATGGGCAGTGGCAATCGATTTCAACCTGGGCGAACGGAGTTGGAGGCTAATCTTCAATGCTAATCACATCCGTACAAGTCCCGGTGCAGCTAGACTGGAAATACACGCACCTTTCAAACCTCGATGATCATAGATCAGCGGTTGCGCTCAAAAGAATGATTTGAGATATACATACATTCGACGGATGAATACTGGAAATGGAGCCTCGTACGGCTATGCTATATCAAGATTGTGTGACGATAACGACGACGACGCACCAGCGTATTACACATATTGGCAGAAATTTGAATGCCGATTCTCACACGAGCCTCATATCCCATATTAACGGAGAATTCCGACTTACTCGTGTGAGTAAGTATGTTGCTTCATTCATGTTATTCAGATCCGGCCCCTCATTCCCTACTTCAAGCCTTCCCCTTGATTCAAGACATCATCGTCCATATTTCATCCACGCAATAGCCGCCCCAACAAAGAAGATCCCCGCCCAGATGAGATTCGTCAGCGCCCCTTCAACCCACCTCTTCGTCGCCATCTCCTCTCTTGCCTTCCACCCTCCGCCAAGCCCTGTGGCATTCGCATGAGGAAATGGTTCATCCGGCACCTCCTTGCCTAAGAACTTGCAAAGCGGCTCCCAGCCGTCATCAACAGACCACTCAAGCAACCTCTCGGGAGGCACCATGCCGCGGATCATGTCGCAATGTTCTGTCATCGTCAGCTCTCACTCTTCAAACATCCCCCCTCCCCCATCAACACCAAAGAACTCACCTCGATAAACCCACTTCCCATTCCTCTTAATAGCCCCCGCCATATCCCCATCGGGCGCCCGAAAGAACAACGCCCAAAGAAACCTCTCATAAACATGCCACGCCCAAAACGCCTCCCGATCCAACAAACTCGCCACCCAAAAGCTCCAACTCTCATTCACATGCACCAGCGTCTTCACCGCGCTCTCATGCCACCCCTCCAGGTCCCTTCTCACATTCAGCACCACCTTCGCCTGCGGGTACGCCCGCACCATCTCCGGCGCGAAGCAGCTCGCCGCCGCGTCCGTCACCGCGACACAGTGCCCGATCAGCTCGTCAAATTCTTCGGCTGAGATGCTCACGTCGCCCGAGTCCGGGGCCGGGTTGTCGTGCCCAAAGTACTTCTTCCGCGCGAGCTTGACCCACCCCGGGGCGGGGATCGGCGGGTCCTCGTAGACGATGTCCCAGCCGTGGTAGGTGTGGTCGTAGCCGAGGGTGAGAAGGGCCTGTTGGAGGGACTCGGTGCCGGAGCGAGGGGGCCCGACGCAGAGGACTTCCATTGGTTTTGTGCGTTTGCGAGGGGGGTAGGGGGGGAGGGGGTAGATGTGGTTTTCGAGGATGGACCACCACCAGGCGTTCATACTCGAGAGAGGGGTGAACATCTTGAAGTCAGTTGATGGTGCAAGGCCGTCTTTGGTGATATGTCGACTAGTTCAACCTGACGGGCTTCGATTCCTTCTAGAAGGACGGTCCCAAACGTCTAAACGACCCGCGACACTAGCGGCCGACCGACGGTGTGTTTGCTGTAGCCAAAGAAAGACAGGTTGACAGAAGCCGAGCGTGCATACCCGACCCGCGCCGGACTTCAGACCACACGAGAGTGAGAGCCAAGAGATATTTATATCAGCACCAGGTAAGCAATAGCAACAGGTTAAACGATTTCTCGGAATCGCAAACCCGCAAAAAACAAATCTCACATCGACGATGGTTTCATGAAACAAACAAGAAAAGACACATGTGGACAAAAGAGCCGTCAAAGCGCCTGCCCATTTTTTTGCCCCCATGGCTGTAACTCGTATGCAACGTATGCAAACACGCGCATGAACCATCCCTACTAATCCCCTTGGTTGAATTAACCAGGATTTCTGCGATGCATCAAGTGTGACATGTCATGTCATGTACAAGAAGTGTTGCTACCGAATAGCAGAAACAAATAGGGAGGGCATGAAGAACCGGGTAGAGTTATTCTGTAACGGGGCGGTTTTTCGGAGGCGGCGGGTTCCCTGCAACACACATCAAGTGTCTCCACACCTCCGTTTCCTCTCCCCCCCTCTCCGCAAATCGCCAGTGCTTGCGAGCCCCCGGGACGGCTGTCTATTTACTTTCCCAAAACACTGGTCGGGCGGTGGCACGCGACAGGGTGGGCTGCACGGTGCAGTTCGGAACCAGAAAAGTCAAAATGCAACCCGAAGAAGGTCAAAATGCCTTTAAGAGGATTTCTGCCTGTTTGGGGTAATCAAAAGGAACGCCGCACTTCAGCGGGGCGTAGGAATACATAAATCGGGGCCATTCGATGAACCGACCGGTGGCTAAAAAGGGGGTTGATGATGGCGGACATCATCAGCCATGCTTGCATACCCAGTATCCTGCCTTCGCGTCGCTCTCCCTCGCGAGCGAGCGCCAGAACTTGGTCCATCCGGGCCGTCCATCGCTCCTAAGATGCTCAACCTCCTTGACCTCCTCTCCCCATTGCCTCTCTTCCGCGGCCAGCAGCGCCGTGTAGAGCGACTGGTAGAAGAGTACTTGCTTCTCAATCCCCAGCGGCAGCGCGTCGATCGGCCCGAGGACCACTCCCTCCAACTCGTCCGCGTCGACCTCCCCGAGTGTGGAGATGAGCAGCGACGTTACATTCGGCTTTGGCACGGGAACACGTCTGACGGACCCCTCAAACGAGATGTGCAGCCGCCGGAGCGCGGGAAAGGTCGGAGCAATCTGGTTGATGATTTGGAGGTACTGATCGCGTGGGCTCA